GAGGAGGTGGGGCATGGGGGGACTCTAGCAGCTTTTTGCAAGCTGGAAGTCTGCCAGCCTGCAAAGGAAAAGCCATGGTTTTGCACATTTGTCTCCTTCAAAGGAGAATCCATTTTTAAAGTTTGTTCACAACCCTTTCATATATTCTTGCAATCCACTTTTGAGTCGTGCCCCCCAGGTTAACAAATGCTGCTTCAGGGGTTATTTAGTCTAACCCCCAACAAAGGCAAGAAACTGGTGTAACTCCTGATTTAGAAGATGAGAAGCAGGCCTTTAGTATGGATAGAGATAGCAAGACCTAGGCAACCATCAGCACAAGACAATTGGCCCCTATACAGGGTGGCCAAACTCTGGAACCAGCTTCCCAGGGAAGTGGTCCTCACCCCTACCTTGGGCAAATTCAAGAGGAAGTTGGATGATCACTTGTCTGGGGTCTTGTGAACCCAGCATTCATTCCTGCCTGTGGCAGGGGGTCAGGCTAGATGATCTGTTCAGGTCCCTCCTGACCCTAGCTACTATGAAACTATGAAACTATGAATGAGGCTGTGCTGATGCACTGTAATTGCAATGTGTTGAAGCAGAATTGATTAATCGAGTCTGCTGGAGTGTAGTAATAACCATGCTCCAGCAGCCTCCAGCATCTCGTGTGTCAGAGTCCCCGCACTTAAATATGGCAATAAGAGAACTTTATCTAAAGCTCATTCAATGAGCATTAGATACAGCATCCCTGCCTCCATTTTTAAGTAGACTTTGATACACAAGACGCTCTGGGTGCTTTAATTAGAGTGGTTCTCAGAGCCTCTTTAATTAAAACACGTCCCTCCCCCAACTCCTGGAGTACGTGTATAAATGCTTCAGTGCCTTTGAGAACAGGTGGTCCCGATCCCTGAAAAAATGCAGCTATTGCTTTGGAACTAGAGCTAGCTGAATCTGAATTTCTGTTGGGAAACCCCCAACATTTAAAATATCCTGATTGTAATGAAAATTTAAAATTCCCAAGCAAACAGCAGTGTCAAAGAGAATTCCTGTGTCAGGTCAACTGAAAATTCATTTTTATTCAGAACTAACCCATTAAATGTTTTGCCACATGATAAGATACTTTTCTAAATAAAAATTCATTATAAGATACTTTTCTAACATAAAAGTTATTTTGCATTAAAAATGGATAGGTCCCATTCCAAAAATATTGAGTTAAAACATTTGGATGCTGTTAAAACACCTAATTTCAGATTTTTAACGAAAAAATAGTCAAAATCAACACAATCCCATGAAAGGTTCAAGTTCAATAAAATAGAATTCCTTAAGAGAAAATATCCCAACAGATCATTTTTTTACCACCTATTCCCAGCATGTATTTACTTGTTGGAAACTTCACCCTATTTTCCTTCCAACTCAAAATGTGTATCCATGGCTAAGCCGTTTAATAACATCACAGAACTCCTGCATATCCAGTAACGATACAAATTATATTAGCACTTTCCTCTGTGTAAAGAATACAAGTGATGAGGTAGGTCACAATATTAATAACAAATCGCTATCTATGTATAGGAAGCATACTTCACTATTGTATATTCTTCACAGCTAATTTTTCTTATAAATATTTACACTAGAACTTGAAAACCAAGAACTAACCTAAAATTATGCTTTCCTCTGATTTCAGCCATTTCTTGCTTCTTATCTGAAAATTCAAGACACTTGTGGAGTCCATAATTTACATGGTTTGCCTGGATTAGTGGGCGGGATTGCAAGCATCATTGCAGCTGCGTTACAAGTAGAACATCCGTGAGTTTAAAAAACCAAAAAAAGAGAGTTATTTCATAAGGCTGGCAGCCAGTTTGTGTTTTATTCAGTGCAACCTGCTTGAGACCACATTCGGTATTGCCAGCCTCAAAGTATTAAAAAAAAATTGGATCATGCCCTGAAACATCCTGAGATTTAAAACAAAAAATGAATCATTAGGTTGAACAATTTACATTATCTTTTTTTCCATCTTTGAGGTCCAGAAATTTTCCCCCTAAACACAAGCTGAGATTCTCATAAATTCGTCTGGTTCCAGGACATGAGGCATTAGGAAAGCCACCAAGTCACACAAGACAAGAAAATTGCTGCAGTTGACAACCCTGTGCCCTGTGCACTCCTTACTATGAAAATGAAGATCTTATGGTTGCTTTTTTTGCTCATAGGGATGCTACTGAAGTTTTGCAAAAATTCAATAAGCCTTTTCATTTTCTCAGGCCAAACTTTGAGTCTGAATGCCCTCCTTCCCCTGCAAGTAATGTGGGCATCATATAGCAAACCAAAGCTAAATCAAGATGGTGTCTAGTGGGTCTCTGCTTTGATTTATTTATTCTGGTTTCCCTCTTAAGTTTTTCTGTTTCTCTTACTTTAAGCTGTCCTGAAACATTTTGGGGAAGGGTGGCTATAAATTAAATAAATAAACATAACCATGCTTTTTTCAAGAAAAGCATTATTTCCTTGTATATTTAAGTCTAACCCTCTACCTGGCAATTTTATCCTGCTGAGAGCAATAATAAAAATATATACAATGCAGTCAAATTCCTGCTCTGGAAACTGAGTGCTGTTTTAACTGTTTGTGACTTTCTCATCCCTCCTTTTTCAGGCCATCTCATCCTATTTCTGTTGGTATGCAGGCTGCTGCCTTGGGTTGTACGCTAGGAATTGCACTAATAGGAGGAGCGTTTGCAGGTTAGTAAGATGCACAGAGCACCCAAAGCTTACAAATCTTTAGAAACATGCCGTTTGCCTCTCCCCTCTTCCCCCTTTCTGCTGAGTTCAGCAGCAAAGGAAAGGAGGGTATGACTGGTAGTGGCGGCATTTACCCCTGGGCTCTGGAACAGTGCAAAAACGGAGGGTAAGGCTAGACCCTGGCTGAGAGTTCACATGCAAAAGAATCAAAGAATCATAGCATCCTAGAGAAGTAGAGCTGGAAGCAACCTCTGTATGTCGAGTCCAATCACCTGCCTGAAACAGAATTATCCCTATCCAAACCATCCCATACAATCATAATCTAAGCTCTACATAAGACTACCTTCAAACCTGACACAACACAGACCTAACAGCGATGTGATAGCGAAGTGACTGCAGAGCCACTGACCATCACCATTGAAAACTCATGGTGATCAGGATCGGTCCCAGATGATTGGAAAAGGGCAAATATAGTGCCCTTCTTTAAGAATGGAAAGAAAGAGGATCCAGGGAACTGCAGACCAGTCACCTTCACCTCACTCCCTGGAAAAATCAGGTCCTCAAGGAAGCCATTTCTAAGCACAAGGAGGAGAAGGTGATTATGAACAGTCAGCATGGATTCACCAAGGGCAAGTCATGCCTGACCAACCTGATTGCCTTCTATGATGAAATGACTGGCTCCGTGGATGTGGGAAGACCAGTGGACATGATACACCTTGACTTTAGCAAGGCTTTTGATAATGTCTGCCACAACATTTTCACAAGCAAGCTAAGAAAGTATGAGTTGGATGAATGGACTGTAAGGTGGATAGAAAACTGGATGGAGCATCAGGCTTAGCGAATTGTAGTCAATGATTCAATGTTTAGTTGGGAGCTGGTGTCAAGTGGAGTGCCCCAGGAGTCAGTCCTGCAGCTGGTTTGTTCAATATCTTCATCAATAACCTAGAAGATGGGATGGAGTGCACCCTCAGCAAGTTCATGGATGACACCAAACTGAGGGGAGCAGGAGATACACTGGAGGATAGGGCTAGGATTCAGAGAGATTTTGACAAGTTGGAGGATTAGACCAAAAGTAATCTCATGAGGTTTAACAAGGGCACTTTCAAAGTCCTGCACTTAGAACAGAAGGCCCGTGGACCAGGACAGGCTGGGGACTGACTAGATAAGCAGCAGTTCTTCAGAGAAGTACCTGGGGTTTACAGTGGACAATAAGCTGAATATGAGCCAGCAGTGTGCCCTAGTCGCCAAGAAGGCTAACGGCCTCCTGGGCTGCATTGGTAGGAGCATTGCCAGCAGATTGATGGAAGTGATTATTCTCCTCTATTCAGCACTGGTGAAGCCGCATCTGGAGTCCTGTGTCCAGTTTTGGGACCCTCACTACAAAAAGAATATGGACAAATTTAAAAGAGTCCAATGAAGGGCAACAAAAATTAGTTAGGGGACTGGAAAACATGACTTCTGAGGAGATCTGAGGGCCTGTTCAGTCTGGGGGAGAGAAAACTAAGAGGGGATTCAATTGCAGCCTTCAACTACCTGAAGGGGGGCTTGAAAGAGGATGGAGCTGGACCATTATCAGTGGTGGCAGATGACAAAACAAGGGGCAATAGTCTCAAGTTGAAGCAAGGGAAGTATAGTTAAGATATTAGGAAAAGCTTCCTCACTAGAAGACTAGTAAAGCACTGGAACAGGTTACCCAGGGAAGGGGTGGAAAATCCATCCTTGGAGGTTTTTAAGACCCCAGCTAGACAAAGCCTTGGCTGGGATGATATAGTTGGGGAGGGTCCTGCTTTGAGCAGAGGATTAGAGTAGCTGACCTCCTGAGGTCTTTTTCAACCCTAACTTTCTATTATTCTAACAGCCTAACAGGGTAAAGCAGGGGAATCGTGGTAACCAATGTCCTGCTTCTATGAAATGCTGTCAATATATGCTCAAGAGATCCTGGGTAGAGGACCAGGCCCCCTACTACTAAGAAAGGCAAAAATCCCCACGGTGCATACCAATCTGACCATGGGGTAAAATTCCTTCCTGAAGTCAAATGTGGTGATTGGTCTTACTCTGAGTGGAGGGCAAGACCCCCTATCCAGGAACCTCTGGCTTTGGTCCCAGGACAGAGGCAACCAACAAAGCATGGAAACGTGGAAAATACCCATAGTAGAACATAGGCCTACACCTAGATCATCCTCAACCAGTGGCTGTCCACTCTCTTTTTGAACACCTCCAGTATGGGGAGCTGGGAGCTAAGCAGTGCCAGGGCCAGGCCCCCTGCTGGAGTGGCTGCCCGGGAACAAATTTGATCCTGGTCAGCATCTACATGAACACAGCATCGACTGTGCAGTTAGTTTAGTACCTGTATCTACAGGTACTAGCTAACTGCACAGTAGACTGATTTACTGCAGGGTAGCTTATTAGCACTGTAACTTGGTGATACTTTACTGTGCAGTAGATTAGTCTAGTGCACAGTGAAGCATCTTGTGTAGACACACCCAGTCTGTTCTATTGCCTCACACTTCTAACACTAAAGAGGCAAAGGTGAGACACAACCACACCCCTTCTGGATCCACCCCATCAGGCTGTCTTTCTAGATAATATGTGTCAGCCAAAAAGAAGTTGAATGGTGCTATGTAGGTGTAGCTGGATGAAATTCTATTGACTGGGTTTTACACAGGGTCAGACTAGATGACCCTGCTATCTATTGCTAGCTGATGGCTTAAAATAGGTGGAGCTAGGTAGCACTAGAACACTGCTTCCAAACAGATTTCTACTGAGGATTTGCAAAATATTATTTCCAAAGGCTTATAACTTGGCCAAATGTGGGTATATATCCATAGGGACAAACATATTTAGGCTAGATATCGGGAGGTGTTACTTCACTGTCAGGGTGGCTAGGATCTGGAACCAACTTCCAAGAGAAGTGGTGCAGGCTCCTACCCTGGGGGTCTTTAAGAGAAGGCTTGATGTACATCTTGCTGGGGTCGTTTGACTCCAGTACTCTTTCCTGCCATGGCAGGGGGTCGGACTTGATGATCTGCTCTGGTCCCTTCCAACCCTAGAAACTATGAAACTATGAAACATAAAGCAGTTCCCTGACTCCAAGGCCAGCCTTTCTTGAACATTTCAAAACCATACTCCACAGTTTGGAAGCACTGGAACCTCAGTGAAATGATTAGGAGAACATGGGTGGGAGGGGGACATTTCACCTTCGTCTCATTAGAACTGGTGCTAAACAAACCAAAAACTCAGACTGACCCAGACACTCCCCAAAAGCAATTTAAGTCTGAGAAAGTTGTAAACGTCTAAGAACTGAGCCTTTATAATGGAAGGTATCGCGCAACTGCAACACTTGTAATATTGACCAGCGTGATATTACAGGCCCTGATTTGGTGTGGCATTAGGTATTTCCTGATAAACTTCACCACCTTGAAGGTGGTGCTTACTGCCTTCCAAAATTGCACTGATAACTAAAAAGACAGGGCAAAGGCCATTATTCTCCTCCCAAGGGCACCTCTTGTAGCACGTCTTGTGGAACATGTGTACCGTTGAACTCATGGGATTTTCTTTCCTGCAGGTTTAATTCTCAGCTTGCCTTTCTTGGGTCAAGCCCCGGATCAGAACTGCTACAACGACTCAGTTTACTGGGAGGTAGGATATAACCGCAAAGGAACACAGCCAGCAGGAAGTGCTACACTTGTATTTCCTGCTATGGGAAGTAGAGAGAACAGTGCGATCCAGCGTTGCTGGTGCTCGTGTAGTGGGACTCTGGGGATTTGTACTGCATTCCTGGTATTGCCTGGAGATTCTGGCCTCTTCACCAGCTTCTCTTCGAAGGCACCATGCTCAAGGAGGCCTTGAACCCTTCTTGGTGGCTCTGCCCTTTATTGCTCCCTCTCTGGCATGCTTGAGATTGGGGTGCAGTATGGGCATAACCTTGTTTGAAGGAGAGACCCGAGTTTCAGAATAAAACTGCCTTAACTCAGGTTTGGGGTCCTTTAGTCCCACCTCTGAAACCTCAAGAGTGTCAGTGCTGCAGCCCCTAAAGTAAATGAATGAGGAATAAAGAGAAACCTTGTTGAGGCAGGTTGCAAAGAGGAAGAAATCCACTGTAATCTGCTGCCATCTAGAGTCAGTTCGGCCTCATCTACATTACGGAGCTCTTCTCGGAGAGACTTGTTGGCTAAGGGTGTGAAGAGGTCCACAAAATAACTGATCAGCTCTGTTGACAACCCTCCCCACCCTCCCCCCCAGCCCTGTGTGGATGCAGGTCTGAGAGCAGGAAGACAGTTTCTTCCATTTAGATGAAATGGTGTAATCCTAGCAGCAAAAAAAACTTTTGCCTACAGAGATACCTCTACAACAGGGGCAGGCAAAATGCAACCCGCGGGCCAAATGCAGCCCTCAAGGCTATTCTGTTTGGCCCACAGGGCCCCTAAAAATTTTAGAAAATTAATATTTATCTGCCCCTGGCTGCCTGTCATGTGGCCCTCGATGGCTTGCCAAAACGCAGTAAGCAGCCCTCCACCCAAAATAATTGCCTGCCCCTGCTCTACAATGATGGCATCTCTGTAGGCAGAATGATGGCATCTCTATAGGTCAGATAGCCCTGACCCCACAAGAGCTGCTTCCCCAGTGAAAATGGCAGCACCTCTATAATAGGGTTTTAATGTCTGAGACATCTGTCTGTTCCTGACTGAAAAATAAATAAAAATCTTTTTTTCTGATTTCTTTCCCACATGGCAGAAAAATCTTGCAAACAGGGATAATTGGAAAAAAAATATTTGTCTTGTCTACCTTAATTTTCCCAAAATAGATGGAGGAAAGGCTTTCTACTGAAAGTTTTGTGTTATGATTCAGAAGCGTAGGGTCCAATTACTAGCTCTATGTGTATAACTCTGGGGAAGCACCTTATTCTATATGAGCCTCAGTTTCCTATATATTAAATGGACATGAGCTGAAAGGCACAGGATTTTTTCCTTGTCTATTTAGATGGCCCAGTCTTCAGAAAAGGCACTGTTTCATATTCTGCATTTATCCAGTGGGGTTGTCCCAATAACCAACTTCCTTATTCCATTCCCAAACTGAAAAAAAAATAATTTCAGTTAATCCCTCAAACAAAAAGATTTTGAACAATATTTAGAAAAAAAAGCAATTTTTTTCCCCACCTGAGTGGTACCTAAGGACCTTGTTTCATTTCAGAAATGTCTTAGCTACTAATTTAGACATTTTGAATATCATTTCTAAATTTTTTATTTGGCCAAACCTGTTTACTAAATTCAGTGAAATCCACAAATAATTTAAAATTAGATCAAAATGGTGGGTTTTTTTATGAATAAACTGTTAACCAAATACTTGGCAAAATATAGAGCCTGACTTAAAGGTGCTTCTGTATTGATTCATGTGTATTGGCATGACAATATTAAAAATACCAATATGTATTGTAATTTTTATTTACCAAGAGAAGGAGAGTGTATTAATGTGTTAGGAAACACAACATGCCTCCATAATATTAGAAACAGTAGAAGAGTTTAAAGTGTAGATGACAAATTCACAAAGAAATCCAGCCTATTTTTAACCAAAATAAATATAAACCTCAGTACCAGAGTTCATCAATATCAATAGAAATATCCATGTTAGCAAGATTCAACCCAAAATGTAAATGTAGGGTGGTATTTTCAAAGAAGATTAGGGCAGATTCATACCCAATTCCTTTGAATTACACGGGGAGTTGAGTACCTAATTTATTTGTAAACCCCAGCCAGAATGATTTATATGCACATGGATATATTACATGTTATGAAACATTTCCTTTGTCAGGACATTGGAAATCTTCTAAACTAAAGATGCACTGAATGGCTCAGAATTTCTCCCCAAACAGCAAGGAAGCAAGATGATTTTTTCAATAATTAAACGCAAAAGGTGAATGGAAAGAATGATATTTATGTTGCATTAGGAAGTAATTATGGGTGTGAACTCCAGAAAGACCAAAGGGCATGAGCTGGGGTTAATTTTGTTTTTTGTTTTTTTTGGTTTTCATACCAGGTCCCAGAAGAAAGCAAACAACTTGTTGAAATGTCCAGTGAACAAGACACTCAGAGATTTAATGTCAACATGTAGATGGATTTCTCCATTATTAACTTCAGTCCTAATAGTGTCATTTTCAGACATTAGTGGTTTTCAATAAGTAAAGGAATGTAGAGAGCTATAGTTTTGTAAGATGAAATAAGCTTTAATAAGGATATATTGTCCCTACCAAATTTGATATACACAATGCATATTTCAAGCTCTGTTGAATGTAAAAGCCTTTCAAATGCCTATGCTTACCTCAAATTGAAAGCAGCTAACTGGATTGCAATATGTCCTGTATTTCAGCAGTCCATCATAACTCAAGTTCTTTAAATTGATTTCACATCTATGTGTTTCTACCATGCTTATCGCCAAGGTTTCATGTTTAGCAGCAAGTATTCAGAATCTGGAACAAAATGTTACTTTAGCAAGACATGGAAAAATTAGACCAGGAAGAATTTCATACCCTCTAAGCTAGTATAGGTAAACTGAGAGAGGATAAAGAAAAGATCTATAGGTTTTTATTTTGGTTTCCAAAATGATTTTTTACTAAAGACCGCCACACGAAACTATTATGAAACCATGCCTACCTAATGAGTCATAAACCCTGTTGTGGATTAAAAACTGGTCAAGTAATAGGAAATAAGGTGTTAGGAATTCACAACTAGTTTTAAGTGCAAAAAAATGGCTTTCAGTGAGGTATCTAACACAGACATATGACAACTCCGTCTTCATTATATTTTTAATTATCTCAGTGAGTAAGTGAATGGGAGGTGGGACAAAATGTATTATTAACACGATAATTTAGGTTAGTCAAAACCAGGTGAAGCAATTCAGAAGCACCTTCTAAACCCTATGTAACTGGGCAACATTGTCTGATGAAATCCAGCACTGGCAAGCAGAAGATGATACTTATTGAGAGGCAAGCCTAAAGACTGACTTGTGTTCATTGACTGGTTCTGAGCTCAACACACACGCAAGAACAAGGTCTGGATTGTTAAGAGAGTCATTGAAGAAGCATGCGTGTCAGAGCAGAAAAACATGTAAAATGCCTGTGTCACATCTTGAAGTCTGAAAGTGCTGCATCTGGCAAAACTACCCAGCTACAAACAGGACAAAGGGCCAAGAAGACCAACAAAAAATAATGAGGATCCATGAAATGCATTAAGAGGAGAACTTAAGGGGAAGGACAAAATAAAAAGCAATTTTGAGCAAGCATAAAACAGTACCACAGAGAAGCTCAGTCCTGTTTATTATGTGTCATAGTCAAATTAATAAGAGGCTTCCTGATTAAAATGAAAGGGAGCTAATGTTAAAATGTGAGCAAATGTGTAGGACTAATGAATAGAGCTCATTTCTTCAAGCTACAACTTATGCCAAACAGAAGCACCAATTAGATTTTAAAAAGTGTTGTGAGCAGTATAAAGCAGATGAGCTTGCAATGGCCTTATAAGGACTGTTTTACTTTAGGGCTGATAACTGGGAGTTAGTGAGGAAGTCCTTCCATAAAGCTGAATTTCATTTAAAAAGTACTTACATGTTCTTCTGAATCTTCCAATGCATAGCACCTTAAGATAGGATACTGGGTTAAACTGACCAGTAAGGTAAAACCACTGTATAGTGTTTTATATATAAGCTTTTATCGATGAATGAAATACCTAATTGTTTAAATACATTTTAATACTATTTTTAGAAATGTTCATTTTTGCAGATAAGCAGGGCCACACTGTGTTTTTCTTTTTTGTCTGAATGCAGTCTTGTATCCAAATACTCTAGGGAATATATTGTCTTTAAATGGGAAAGGCAATAGGAACAGGTCGATATAAACGTTGAATGTTTAAAGATTTTATAAATACTTTGTGTCTATGTTAGAAGAGCAAAGCTGCCCATGGATGGGCTGATTGTATATATTTTATACCCAACGGATGAAATTCACTCCTGTGCAGAAAGGTAGCATAAAGCCACTCTTAACTCCCACTGGGCTCATCTACGTGAGATGCTATGTCGGTGTAGTGACAAGCTATGGTACCGTAGCGTTGGTGGGCACAAACTGTGACGCTGACACTACTGCTCTGTAACAACAAGCTACTGTATAGTAGCTCATTGCTACTGTGCAGCAGCATGGGGAAAGACCCACGCAGCATCAGGACTGTGCAGTAATCCCAGTTAAGCAAATATTAAATGATTGCGCAGTAACAACTGCACAGTCCAGCGGACATGTAGATGCACCCACTGACACCCCATTTTGAGGATTTCAGTGGGTTTCAAGTTCACCTTCTATTCAAGGGTGCATTTTACCCATTTGAAGTATTCACTTTCTAGGACTACTTGCAAAGGTAAATGCTACTCATTGGGCATGTCTGCACAAGACATTTACTGTCGAGTAGACAAATCAGCTTGATAGTAAATGTCTCATTTCTACATGTGCAGCCCTGTTAGGCTGCAGGAAACTAATTAACTCCACAGCAGGGTAGTACTTTTACTCCACAACACCACACGTGTAGACACTAAAGGCTCTGGCTCATGTCCCAGCCAGCCCCTCCACAGCACATTGAGCCACATCAGAGCAGCCCTGGGCTGGCAGGCTGACCCCCCAGACCTTTGCCAGCCAATGCTACTCCAGCTGTGCTCAACATGCTGCAGTCCTGGGTGCATGTGTAAATGCAGTGCCCAGGAGCAAGAATCTCTGGCGCAGTAAATGCCAGGGTTTATTGCATTGCCTAAATAAGCATATGTGGACATACCCAGTCTAAAGAAGTCTCAAGGAATAAACCCACAGTGATAATGAGAAAGCACAGTTCATCAATTTGAAAGGACCTGCAATCAATAAAATAAATATTTTTATCCCTAGACTCTGGCTCTGTTTTCAGACTCTTTTACATTAAGAGTTGGGAGCTAACACCTGTGTGAGTGTGCGTGCGTGCATGTGTGTGTGTAAATCTTGGTACAACCATGAATTTAATGACATATCTTATTCTGGTGTCTACATTTTAAGACAATGTTGGAAAATTGGAGGGGGTTTGGAGGGAAAGCTTTGGGAATGATTCAAGGTGTAAAAAACATTTGTTAAATTGAATTTTTTTAAAAACAAGAAACACAGGAACCCATGAGTGGAAGGGACCTCTTGAGTTATCAGCTCTTGCCCCTTGCTGTTGAAAATAATCATAGTACTTTGCACCATGCTCCATTTAATCATCAAATAGGGTTTTGGCCCCATTTCTCCAGCTGAAAGGTTGTTCCAGACCTCATTTTTCTGCTGTATAGAAACCTTCTAATTTCTAGCTTTAATTTATTTATTGCCAGTTTATATGCACTTTACTCATACACTGCTTAGGTTGCCATTCAGCTCCCTCTCTACTGTTCATATAAATACAGCTGTAACATTGTAGCCATGATGGAATGTGACCTTATGTCCAACAGCTGTCCTAACTATATTGTTGTTCTAATTAAAGAAGTCACAAAAAAGCTATATTAATAGGATGCATTTCTGCAATTAAAAAACCCAGTTCTGACCAACTAGGGAGGTGAATGCAAAAAATAAATAGGTAGGTAGGTAGGTAGATAAAGACGCTGAGACAAGGGATATAAATTATCAGTTTGAAAATACAAAAAATTAACAATGGAAATAAGAGGAATCAAAAATAGCAAAAGTTTCTACTGCCAGTAGCAATTAGAAATAATACAAATATCTCATCCACAAATGTATTCCTAACAATGGTACAGCCCTGACACTTGGTACAAATGGTAAAATTGGCCGAGACATAGAAAATGCAGAATTATTCAAGAAATATTAGCTCTGTATTTATTCTGAGATGAACTATTCATATTATATAATGAATCATGTTTTCTTGCATTGGCACTAGGGAGGATGTTTTAAAAAATGGTAAAGATAAACTTTTACAAATCTACAGGGCAGAATGACAAACATTTAGTCTATTTAAAATGCTGTTAAGGAGAACTTTCTACTATTAAATAGTGGTAAGTAGGAGTAAATGACAGAGTAGCAGCTGCTGCAGCAGGAGCCTCTGTGGGGATAGGGGGAACATGGGGGAAGAGAAAGTGCCTATAAACAACAGATAGGGAGCCTCATATGCAACATTTCATTTCATTCCTCCTCTGCTGGCTGAGACAGAAACTCCTATTACCATATTTCCCCATTTATAATGAAAATACCAGTTTTCAACAACTGAATTTTGTGAAATGGTGTGTCTTGTATGCAGGAAAGTATGGTATCCCAGGAGAAATGTCCTTCCTGTTAGAACAGTGAGGCAGTAGAAGAGACCTCTTGGGGAAGTTGTGGAATCTCCTTCACTGGAGGCTTTGAAGCAGAGGTTGTATAAGCATTGGTCAGGGTTGATTTAAGACTAACATTCCCACATTTATGCAGGCAGTTGGAAAAGATGACCCTTGAGGTCCTTTCCAACCTCATGATTATATAATTCCATAATATAAATCTATAATTCTGTAATCCAAGCACATAATTATGGAACACTTTTCAATACTAAACAATCATTAAATTAGTCGTAAAAAAAGGCTTGAGGACAGATGCTAATTGAAAGCTCAAGCTGGACAACTTCAACCTACAAGTGTAATTTCACAATGAGGGCATTCTAGTAACCACTGGAAGTCTGTACCTCCAAGCTATGAAAGATGCTCCAACCCTTTAAATTGTCCAGTCTGGACTGGATATCTTTGCTGGAGGCATGGCTTAGGTCACACATACTTGGTTGGTTTGATACAACATTCAGTGAAGGTGGGTTGTTCCCCTGTGTTATGTATCAGCTCAGAGATGATGATCATAATCATCCCTTTAGGTGAGAGAAAGAGTAGGAA